GCCCAGTTCAAGAACGATGGATGTATCCATGTGAAAGGTAACTTAAGTTAATTATATATTATAAGATATATAAATATACTAGTGATACTATATTGACATATACTTACATTATGTTTGAAGGAAACTCCATGGGGTGAAGTATGATATCAAAAATAAGAATAGAGTTGAAGGTTGTATACGTAACGCATGTTTGGTTAAAGAATCATCAACACTTTGTGCGGACTACTTTGAGTCACACATTTCGACAAGACATAGAAAAGTCCCACGAAATGCAGATGATGGTGGGGTTGGAGAGGACCATCCTGAAATGTTGTCCGTTTTCAAGCATGTTGGTCGTGGTTTTGGTAAAAAGAAAATAAGAAGGTTAGATTATAGAGAATATCATGCAGTTCGGACATATATTTGGTTGAATTGTGATGCAGTGAAACCATATATAAAGTAAGTTAATTATCATGATCTAGATATAAATATTATTTACATTTGAAGTTATTGAACTAAATTAGCTTTATTTTCTTCCGAATTTTATGAGGATACCTTGAGACAAATACAACCATGTATTCAAGATAGTGATATTGATGCTAAACTTGAAACATAGTTTGCGTCTTGGTTTAATCAATACGTAAGTACTAATAGATCTAGATTAATCTCTATAGTGAATTAATATAATCTTAATGTATATCTAATTACTTATAGTGGCAATAGGCACGTGGTCCTTCATCCGTCATTACCAATCAATTCATGAAAGATCTTGCAGAAGGGCCATTGCATAAAGTTCAACCCTTTAATGGATATGTTGTAAATGGTTACAAATTTCACACCGAAGAATACAGTTCAAATAAATCTACAATGAATAGTGGTATATGCATTAAGGGCTCTAGTCACAGTGCAAATGAGATCGATTATTATGATATATTGATAAAATTTCTGTAGCTCAAAAGTAAATGAAACTAAACAAAAACATTAAAGAAAAATCAAGAAATTAACACATTAGTGGAATTCAACCTACATTCATACTCAAGTGTGATGACTAACAACTTTATTTTAATGATTCACAGTACTCGGCATTCAACCTAACATGTATCTGCACATATAAGAAAATTCAGCATGAAATAATTTTAAAAAAATAAAAAATGCTTACCTATAAGTATTCAAGAGTATTAAATTTTAATAGAATAAAGGAGCAAACCTGAGAAATTAAAGGAGAAGAAAGGGGCAATATAGTTTAGGAGAACAAATATGGACTAAGAATGGAAACTTAAATTAAATAAAATTGGACTAAAGTAAGAAGTACCATAATCTTCACTTATATCAAACTGAAAATTATATTCACTCGTCATTCTTCTAAAATCTCAATTAAATGCAAAATTTTCCTGCAACAAAAAATTCCGAAAGTACAAATACATAAGGGGAAATACCAATTATCACTTGTTTTGTGTAGGAATAGAGTGTAGTCTCACCTCTATGATCATGTACCAAGTTTGGAATGGCAAGTTCAAATTGTAACTTTTTGCACATTAATGATCAATGGTCTTTTAATTTATTTTTTTAAAAGGGAAATTGAAGAGAGAAATACAATGCTTCCCAATTCTTTTTGAAGACACGGGCAAATAAAATACTTGAATTAAAAAAAAAAGTTCATCAAGAAAGTATATCCAAACATAAACTTGAGTAATAACATGCTAATTAGCTGAAATTTTTCATCAAATCATGAAACTTTAAATTCAAACTCATGCAAAATGGAAAAGAAAATTTTTTTATCTATAGAAACACATGAAGAAACTTCAATGTGACAATTCAAATATAGAAAATATGTGAATAATAATGATTGAAGAGGAAGATTACCAAGTGAGAGGAGAGGATGAAAGAAGACGATGAAGAGAAATCACCATTACGTGTGGAAAAAGAAGAGCAATACACGTGTGTTTAATAGTGCAACTTTATAGTACACATTTCTTAGCTTGTTGTACAATTTGTATTGTTGTGTAATAGTATAACTTTATAGTACACATTTCTTAGCTTGTTATACAATTTTTATTGCTGTGTTAAGACACATTTCTTAGCTTGTTGTACAATTTTTATTGCTGTGTTAGTCCCCTCAACTCCCACTTCTATATAGGAGTAAAGTAGTAAATAACATGAAATATTTCACATTACCCCATACCATATCTATACCGAAAGAATCATGTAAATTAAGCAACAAATGGAACAACACCATGATTTGCATGTAATATGAACCGTAAAAGAAATTTGACGGAAAGCTCTAGTAGGATGGAGTTCACAATATTAATAGGCAAATTCCGGATATTTGAACGGTAACCCATTAGATAACAGGGGAATACAATTCGTTTTTTTATCACCACAAAAAACTTCAAGTTATTTGAAGCTTAGACGTGTGTTTGAACTTTGCAATTATAATGGCTATTAAAAAAATCAAACGTTTTACTTTGAAAGACTATAATTTAATCTTTTTCAATTGAAAGAAAATTGTCAGCATAAAGATGGGCCATTGTTCATAATTTTATAATATCATGTTGTAATATTGATGAAGTAAAATATGCATAACTGAGGAATGGAAAATACAAATGTATTTTTGGTAAACAAGCTCATAATTTAATTGTAGAGTCCAACTCACCTTCTACTACTTGGAGTTAAATTAGGTTTGTTTAAATTGTAAGTATTATATAGCGTAGAAACAAAAAAAAAAAAATACCTATCACCAACATGGATGGCCTCCCCCATTTGCCTGGAGATATTGTCAACTCCATCTTCTTTAAGCTTCCTGTGAAATCTCTTATACGATTCAAAAGTTGTTGCAAATCATGGTATGGTTGTATCGATGACGCCGACTTCATCAAGTCACATCTACATAAATCGTCTATCGATATTAGTCGTAAAAAAATTGTCTTGGTTAATTCAATCTTTCTACATAGAGGAGGAACACGCAAATTTAAAATTGTGTCAATGGAAGCATCAATTAATGCTGATTCAAAAGTTGTGTATCTGAATATCCCAGAATTCTTTAGTGACTATTTTTCTTTGGAAGTGTTTTCATGCAGTGGCTTGATCTTTATGACGTCATACGATCCTGGCTATTGTATGACATTATTGAATCCTTTGGTTGGAAAATACAAACTCATTCAAAATTCTCTTTTCAGTCAAAACACAAAGACAAATCGTTGTTGGACATCTCCAATATTTGGTTTTGCCTATGATTTTGTGGCTGAAGATTACAAGGTTATATGTGTACATCACTTGATAAACAAATACTTCAACAACGTTGAAGTATACTCGGTTAAAAATCAATGTTGGAGAGCAATTCACAATACTTTTCCTGTTTCCCCTGATTCTTATAACCAGCACCTATACAGTAATCAAGTTTCATTAAACGGTGTCATTCACAGGATGTCATACAACAGGGCAGTTATATCTTTCCATCTAGTAGACGAAAAATTTACTGTAACAGTAGTGCCAAAAACATGTGGGAAACAGCCGACATTACATGTATTGGGTGATGGCGTCTGTGTTTTCACAACGGTTGGCGAGGAAAATTTGATTTGGTCGCTGGAGAAAGATAGGTGGAATTGTATCAACAAGTTTCACTCACACGCATTGGAATGCCTATATTATATTTACCGATTAGAGGTATTAAATACCGCCCAGCAGGTGCCTTCCTATTTGTTAAGGAGAATGGGAATATACTATGGAGAAAGCATAATGGTTCTTTTATTGAGTATGATGTGCGGAAAAATGAATATACTGAGTTTAAGTCTATACAAGTACCGCCTTTTGAGGAAAATAAGGCTTTGTACCGGGAAAGTTTAGTTTCTTTGAAGATTTCGTGGGATTGACTAGGTAGCAATTTCTAGTAGTATTAATAGAAGAATATTACCTAATTGTCATTGTTTCTGTTTGATTTGTGGATAATGGTATATAGTAGCAAGTAAAAATATGATGTTGAATTTCTACCCTGATTTTGTCTGACTATCACCGTAACTTGTTTTTAAGACCACTCTTATATATAGGCTATAGCGAATCCGTACTGGGGTGATCAATGTAAAAGTGTCGCCTAAAAAATGAATCCACTAATTTCTTCTGTTACCTTTCAGCTTAGAATCCACAGAGATATTATATAATGAGTTTTACCTTATCCTTCCATTGAAAATCAACAAATTTGCAAAAGGGTGTGACCTGATCTCCTTGTTTTAATCTGTCAACAAGAGTAGTTCGTTAAGTAATGATGTGAAAGTCTAATGGGGAGCTGGATAGCCAATACTTACCGCAACTCACTCTATGATGAGTTGAAGTTCTTGTGTCATTTTTCATTTCATTACTTTTTCTCCTTCCACAATCAATAATTCATAGACCATGCCTTTATTTATGTTATCTTATTATCTGCTTATTTCATTTTAGTATAGGAATCTGTCACCACAACAATCTGATCAAGTAGGATAAATATACAAAGATATGACATTTATTCACTAGATATTAATTGGGTGGGGCTGACACAAACCAAAATCAGATTTTGGATGAGATGATCACCATCAGATACATATATATATATATAAAGAGATGATATTCAGGCTTAATTAAGTGGCAAATGTTATCTTCTATTCTTGAAGGATGGAAGAATAAGAGACTCAAGATAAAAATAGTGTTCAATAGGAACAAACTATTCCAAATTTACAGAATTTTTGTGAAATGTTAACTCACTTTAGTATTCTCTTTTTTTATCTGTATTGTAAGTTACAGAGGTTCCCTTTAATCTAGTTTTTCATCTAGGAAGTGGCAAAAGAGAGGAAAATCCTTTGCTTATTTTTTAGGCATGTTACTGCTGCAACAGTATAGCAGCAAACTTATCTGTTGATTTACTTATCTTGGAAACTAAACTTTCCACATACAAGGCCTTATTTGAAATTAAGTCCCCAACTTTTAAATTCATTTTTCCGCACTTCATACTCAATAAAAGAACCCCCCATAATATGTTTCCATTCTCTTTAACACATATGAAGAAGTTACCTACTGATGACCAATCATGCATTCCAATTAGTGAGAGTAAAGTAGGGAACTTGTTGATGTAATTCCACCTATCTTTCTCCAGCGACCAAATCAAAATTTCCTCGCTAACAGTTGCCAAAACACCAGACACGATCACCCAATGCTTATAATGCCTATGAGCTTTAGCCCTCTTCCCCTTCCTCTCTTATGGAGAATTCTACGAGGTGATTTTCATAAGTGAAAATCATCCTTTGCCCACACAAGAGTTTCATAATCACGAATAGTACAAGATCAGAGCTCTGAATTCCTTGCTTTTAAATCAGTTGTAGGAAAGCTTTAAAAGGTTAAAGTTTTGTGAATTTAGGTTATCATGTTAATATGTAAATCGTGATCCTAAATTATGCTTCCGCTGCATATATATATATATATACACATTCTATACTCTAACAGCAACATCCACGGTGGGTCTTCTCTTCCTTGTTTTGAAATCCCAAGAAAGGAACTCATTTTATTCACTAAACAGCTTACAAAAGTGTCATACAAGATTCAATCTTCATTTCAGTACCATCTCTCCTTTTGTTCTCTATCTAAAGTTCATCAGAACTTTAAAATTTGTCTTTGGCACAAGTATTGTTTTTGTTTACAAGTTAAACTACTTGATTTTGAAGAAGCCTAATGCAGATATTCTTGTTAATAGGCACTCTAGTTGTTGGTGCAAATTTCGGAGATCAAGGTTCAAATCCTAGCAGAAATAATATTCGCGGGTACTTGTGTTGATGGGGAGGTAGACGGTAGTAGTTACCTAATAGAATAGTCATGTAAGCTGGTTCGGAGTCAGACACCACTGTTATCCCAAAAAAAGAAGATGGATTTTTTATGTACATCATCCCTTTGGAGTTGGACTTGGTGATTATAAGTTTCAGCAACAGTTGATCACCTCCCTCATAGTTTTGTTTAACAAGACTTCATTTCATCATTGCTTCCATTCTAGTTTACACTCACCACAACTCATCAAATTTCCAAACTCCAATTTTCTTTGCATTATTCATTATTGTTAGACTTAGTGGTATAACTGTGTATAAAACGCTGTAGCAGTTTTGGGGAAGGGGTTATTACGATGGCTTAGGAACAATATTTGAGTTGAACATAAAGTATTTGAAGTTCAAATAGAAATAATTTGTAGATGAAAACCTGTATTAAGACTTGGAATTTGCCATTACAGTTTCACGCCACTAACTGAAAAATGATGAAAAGATCAAAGTTGTGAACCGAAAATACTAAAGTAAGTGTAGCTGCAACTAAATTCTCCTACAGATAGCAGTGGAGACACATACACATGAACAAGAAATGTAAGAAGTTTGATGTAACTAACAGAGGGAGTTTCTTGATGAACCTCAGAAACAGAGCATTCTTTTCTGCAGCAGGCAGTCACATTTGCGAGTTACTTCTTCTTCTTCTTTTGCAGAGGGAGTTTCTTGATGAACCTCAGAAACAGAGCATTCTTGGTGAAACTAACAGAGGGAGTTTCTTGATGAACCATAAAATCAGAGCATTCTTTTCTGCAGCAGGCAGTCACATTTGCGAGTTACTAACAGAATGAACCACAGAAACAGAGCATTCTTCTTCAATTGCAGCAGGCAATTGGGATTATTTTATGTCATCAGATGGAATTAGACCCAAATCTTGATTTTCTTGAGCGAAGGATTTCACAGTTCCTTGACATTGTGACGAAGAACTGACAAGATAATTGGCCTTCCTCCTAATGCGACACATAACCAATTCGTCATGAGCTACAAATTCACTAGTTCGTTTCAAGTCGTTTCGTTTACTTTCAGTAAGGCTATATTCTTTCATAGTCCAGACATGATTGTCTTCATCTAAACGGAATTTTTTCTTAATGCCAATCTGTGATCCTTCCCTATCATTAACTGATTTAGCGCTGCCAAATTCTCTCCATAAGCCGCCTCCAATTGCCCTGCTGAAGTACTTACCATTCTCTCTCTTTTTCTTTAACAGAGTGAGGACATAAAAATCAGTAGTATCATTCGTCCCGAATGACTCAGATAGCTTCTCATCGCCATACAAGTCTGTAAATCCAATTTCTAGGTCGTCATAATCCTCAAGTGTAAAAGATTTGACAAGAAACTCCATGAGTTGTTCATCAGTAAAATTCGTCCTCATTTTTATCCAAAAGAAAAGAAACAGAGTGTTTTTTTTTTTTTTGTTGAGGAAAAGAAAGAAGAAGAGAGCGAGTGAAGATATTGTAGAAACAAAATGAATACTCCACCTTGCTATTTATATATATACAACTTTTTTTTGTTGTTTGGATATTGTTTTTATGTGCTTTTACCAATTCACACGTACGTAATATATAGTAACACTAAAATAATTTTGTACTTTTATTGTTTTAAAGTAAAATTTAAGTAATTATTTTAATGCTTCAAATAATAGTTTAATAATTTGACTATTATAATCCTTTCTCTGTCTATTTTTAGTTGTTCTGATGCGTTTTTCAAACGTTAATTTGATTATTTTCAAAATTAAATTAGATTACATTAATTCGATATTTTTAAACAAGGGAAAAAGGACGAATTTACCCCCGAACTTTGATAAATGGTACGTCTATGCCCTCCGTTATACTTTGCGTCCACATAAGCCCCTGCCGTCCAATTTTCGGTACACACATGCCCCTCTCACTAACGGACCCCTCGTTTTGTACACGTGTTTTAATCCTAATCAACTACCCGTTTGACCATTCTTTTAACCCATAAACCCACAACCCGCCCCATAAACCCAATAACCCACCCGATTCCCTCTAAAATATCTAAGTTAATTAAACATTCCAAATGAAGAGTCAGTGAAGGTTGAAAATCACTCCAATGGCGGCGGTGCCGGTGGCCTTGCCGATTTTCCATCTTTGGCCGCTGCTGCCACCACCAAAACGAAGAAGAAGAAGCCACAAACCCTATCCCTTTGGGAGTTCAACACTTATAGCGCTGCTAAGTAATCTCAAACTGCCGCCACTGTGGCAACCAAAGGCTTGACACCGGATAAAGTTTTGATGCTCCCTACCAGTCCTCGCGAGCGCACTGCGGAGGAACTTGGCCAGTCTCGACTCGGAGGTGGATTCAAATTGTACGGTTACGACAGGTAAAGGGGGAAGGGTTCGTCGGATGATTCTCATAAGAAGAGAGGGTTCCGAAGGGATACCGATAGGGGAAATTGCTCCATCTCGTGCCGACGAGACTGATGATTGGGGTGCAGCTAAGAAAACATCGGCTGGTAATGGTTTTGAAAGAAGGGGGGAGAGGTGAACGGGGAGGTTTTTTCTCCGATTCCCAGTCTAAAGTTGATGAATCTGATAATTGGGCAGCGAATAAAGCTTTTGTAACCTCTTCTGGTCGAAGATTTGATAGGAGAGGGAGTTTTGAGTCAAACGGTAGTGATTCCGATTCGGATCGGTGGACCAAAAGGAAGGAAGAGGAAGGTGGACGGAGATTTGCCTCCGGTGGTGGTGCATTCGACAGTTTAATAGAAAGAAGAGGTGGGGTTATTGGGTTTATGGGGCGGGTTGTGGGTTTATGGGTTAAAAGAATGGTCAAACGGGTAGTTGGCTAGGATTAAAACACGTGTACAAAGCGAGGGGTCCGTTAGTGAGAGGGGCATGTGTGTACCGAAAATTGGACGGCAGGGGCTTACGTGTACGCAAAGTATAACGGAGGGCATAGACGTACCATTTATCAAAGTTCGGGGGTAAATTTGTCCTTTTTCCCTTTAAACAATTATACGAAAACTACATAAATTGCAAAAAAAATTGCATGCCAATATGATGAAAAAATATATCGTAAAATGTTAGTCAAAGTTCTTATCGTTTAACTCTAAAAATGAAACCATCACAACTAAAAAGGTATGGAAGGAGTAATGAACAAAGTTTGAGTGAGATTCGACCTCAAACAAACTCAATATATGCTTTGTATAATATTTAGAGTTGGTTGTGAACTAAACCCTTCGTAGTTATGTGATTTTAGAAGACGGCTAATGATGAAGACGTTTTTTTAGGACTAACTAATTTACTGTATTTTACGAAAGGAGAAAAATGTTACTCTTGGCTTCTTAAATGATAGATCAAACACTGTTAAACTCGTTATATATACAATCGAACATGGGAAAATATGTATAACATATATGTATCTGATACAAAATGTTCCCTTATTGGCCAACATCATAACACTATTAGTGTTGAGTTGAGCTGAAATTAGTTTTGAGTCTTTCTGTTCTTGAGTTATAACCTACTTGTTTTTATACAAATTTTGTAATTGATGATCAGAGTTAGTCCCTTAGATTATATAGTTGTAATCTAAAGGCCACTTGAGTTTAGTGGAGTTTGTTCTTTAGGCAAATTCTATGAGGAAAGGTTGTGGATTTTTACTCCGTTGAACAAAGAGTTTTTCACGGTAACATTAAGTTTTGGTGACTGTACCCTGTCTATCAACAGACCAAATCATGACGATAACTATGACTTGTTGCGTAGAAATTCACCATCACATTTTTACATAAAAATTGATCCACATCAAATTCAAATCTTACTCCTATATACCATTATATATTCACAAATCAATTAAAGAAAAGGACAACACAAATTATATAAGCTACTTCAACAGAAACAATAGCAATGTTCTTCAATTAATACTAGAAACTGCTACCTAATAAACACAAAGTTGGAAAACTATATATCATTATGTTGGAATTTGTTAATCCCATGGAAACTAAACTTTCCACATACAAAGCCTTCTTTGCAATAAAGTCCCCAACTTGTGTCACCTTAAATTCAGTATATTCATTTTTCCGTACATCATACTCAATAAAAGGACCCTCGAGCTTTCTCCATAATATGTTCCCATTGTCCTTAACACACATGAAGTTACCTGCGCATGACAACCAATGACTAGGCTTTCCAATAAGTGAGACTAAAGTAGGGAACTTGTTGATACAATTCCAGATGGTTTTACTATCTTTCTCCGGCCACCAAATCAAAATTTCCTCGCCAATAGTTGCCAGAACACAGACGCGACCACCCAATGCATATAATGTCGGTTTTCTCCCACATGTACTTGGCACTGGCATTACAATAAATTTTTGTTCTGTGAATAACACCGTTTAATGAAACTTGATCATGGTATATGTGCGGTGGCAATGGATCAGAGGGACCAGGAAAAATATTGTGAATTGTTCTCCAACATTGATTTTTAACCGAGTATACTTCAACAAAGTAACGCCTCGTTTTTCAAGTACAGATAGATGTACACATAAAACTTTGTAATCTTCGGCCACAAAATCATAGGCAAAACCAAATACTGGAGATGAGAAGAGAATTTGGAATGAGTTTGTATTTTCCAACTGCAGGATTCCATAATGTCATATTATAGCCAGGATCGTATGCCTTTCATAAACACCAAGCCACTGCATGAAAGCACTTCAATATATTTATAGTTACTACAGAATCCGGGGATATTATTGGGCTCGTCCAGGTACACAAATTTTGAATCACCACTAATTGATGCTTCTATTGACACAATTTTATATTGCCGTGTTTCTCCTTGAGGAAGACAATTTTTTTACGACAGATGATTTATGTAGATGGTACTTGATGAAGTCAGCCTCATCGATACAACAACGCCATGATTTGCAGCAACTTTTGAATCGTGAAAGATAGTTCATAGGAAGCTCTAATAGGATACAGTTGACAATATCTTCGGGCAAATTGGGGATTTTTGAGCGGCCATTCATGCTACTGCTAGGTTTTTTTTGCTACTTCAATAATGCTATATAATAAACCAGGAAGATATTAACTCATCTTTTCAATTAAATTGTATTAGCTCGTTTTTTTTTTTTTTGGGTTATATAGCATCATTGAAGTAGGAAACAGAACAAAAAATAATTAGCTTTAGGCCCCTTTTTCTTCAAAAAATGCCTTTTTAATTGGTTTTAGGCGGCGACTTTATTTTTCAATAATAATAACAAAAAACTTTAAAACGGATTGTAAGTTTGTAAGTTATATATTTTGTTTTCTTTTTTATATTTGTATATGGTTCTAAGTTGTCACATACTTTTTTTCTTCTTTAAATCTTGAAGCAAGGAGAAAGGTGTATATAAAGTGTACATACTTTGTATATTCAATATATAATCTTATGGTTTATACACCCATCTATCACCATGTTTATTGATGCTATATATATAGTTGTTCTACATGACTATACAATGGGATACACAATTGTGGATTATATATAATGGTAAAGAGGTGGAACTTTTGTGTTCAAGTAGTGTATATCATTCTTTAAAAATGTATAATCAATATATATTTAGGTATAACGGTATAAAATAACTGTTCTAACCATACCATTGACACCCCTAGATTTAGACGTGTGGTGACAGGTATTAGAAAAAATTTGTCCCGCGCTTGTACATATGCAAATATCTCTTCCTTTTTAGCATGTTGTGTATGCATAAGTTTAAGGTATTTTTACATTGAAAGTCAGCAAGTCCAATGTTCTTATCAGAATGGACCTATAATAACTCATTAGTTTAGCATGTGTGTCATGTAGCTCAGACTCTTCAATGATATTGTCACTTGTCACACCCGTGTCAGTTCCTTCAAAAAGTGCACTACTTTTGAAGGATCTCACACCACTCATTGAGATTTTGTAGAGTCCGAGCAGTATAGGTTATGTGAGTACAATACATTGTGTTGGGCTATATATTTGTAAGATAGATACAAGTTGTCAACCCATTGCTTCATACAACTCTACCACAACTATCAACGCAGTACAGCTTGTGTATTCCATTCACAACTATCATGCAACCAGCCATAGTAAGGGAAAAAAAGTAGCAGCACAATTCGTTGACTATCTGAATTTTTACCATATTGGTAAACGTTTGATTTTCAAACTCTCCCATCTCAATAGCTAGTTTTTAGGGCCCGAATTATATGTCATTCCAGATAACCAACGGTTAAATTAAAAGCAAAACCAAACAAAACAAAAAAACTCAAAACAACATAAAAAGTCTTATAAGTCTAACTTTCCCCTGCCCTGCCCTGTCCTTGTTGAATTCATGTTTTTCTAGGAATCATGGCCTTCAACCAACTCAATCTTTTATCCATTTTCATTGTCACAAATGTTTCCCTCCAGTTTTTATTTTCAAACAAGTCCATAGCAGCATTATATAGCCTCCGATCAACTCCTGGCGTATCGTTTAGAGCCACAACACAGTTAGCTATCGAATATGGATCATCTTTCTGATTCTGATCCATGTCACTGCTCCTTGATCGTTTTGGATTGTTAGGACCAACACTATTCCTCTTACTGGAACGGGATTTTGGTGGCTCTGTCAATTTATGTTTGTTTCGTTCACTAGGGTTGCTTCCAGGATCCATAGAAGAAACAGCAAATTCCCCGGTTGCTTTTGGTCTCGTAAAAATATGACACAACTCCTTGTATATAGGACAGCCATATTTTCTATATGGTGTTATCTCAGGATGTACCTGCAAGATCAGACACACTTAAATTGGGACGGACGGAATACAACATTGAATAATAAAATAAAAGTCAAGACAAACCTTTATGTACTCAGCCCACACGCTATCATCAACGACAACCATCTTTCTCCGGTTATTCCAACCAAATCCACCGTGGTTGTAAAGTGGCTTCACGATTCGATAACGTTTTCTCAATATAGACAGATGTTTCTTCAGCTCTGCCTTATTAAAATTCCAACCACTGCATTGATTTAAGTCCTTAACAACATTTTCCCATGCTTGATCATGAAAATTACTTGGCATCACATCCAGATGATATTTCATTTCCTCTACCAATGAACCAACAAACATTTTTTCTATTCGCGGAGGCCAATTAGGACTTGACCAGACATCTTCAGCAGGATCATGGACGCGACGACGAACCATCTACAAAAATTATAATACCAATTTTTAGTAATACAAGGAGAAATCCACTTATTTTCCTGCGTACTAATAAAAGTAATACAAGGATACATTCACAGAGACAGAGCCAAGGATTAGGAGTTCAAGGGTTCGAAATTTGAATCCATGACTCTAGCGTGAAAAACATTTCCACGGCCCCTTCCTTACCATTGAGTCATCAATCAATTTTGTTAGGGGTTCACAAGTTAGTATACATATATACTGGGTTCGTCCGAACCCATGAACCCCAACTTAGCTCCGCCTCTATACATACACTTATTTCTATGCATCAAACACAAGAAAATAAGTAAGAAATTCAATTATATTTTCCTAGAAAACATTTTCGTCTCATAAAAATAATAAAATGGTGGGGGGGGAAGGGTAAAAATGACGAACCTTGATGAAATGAGAGGAGACGTGGCTCGTCAAAACCCTAGATTACATTTACTGTGAATTTGTAAGGTAGGAGTTTGTATTAACAACTTTTAAATTAAACTTGGGCGCCACTTTTCCATCTTAAATATTTAAGTTTAAGTAAACAAAATATCTACAACTCTCAAAAACATTTTCCTTGATATACTTCCTTAAATAACTCGGCGTTTGTTTTATACAAGGAAAATAGTTAAAAATATAAAAATGTTCTCTGTTAATAATTTGACCTAAAAATGTCTCTTTTGAGTTTTGTCAATAAGTTGGTCAAAAAATATCATTATTGTTACTTAATGGTCAAAAATGTCATTTTTTCCTAATAAATATATTATTTCATTTTTTTAAAATACATTTTTTTATAATAAATTTTTTTTATTAGTAAATGTTTATCCTACTTCAATTCAAAAAAGATTAAAAAATATAAATATTTTTTAACTTATACTAAAAACACATTTAAGACATACTAAAGAAATCAACAAACTAAAAACCGACGGACTCTATCTGTTTTTGATGATTTTATAAAATTGTTTTTTTATAAATGAAACGATGGACTTAAACAAAACATTGATAATTTTTCGCACAAAAATGCATAGAAACTGTAAGATAGGATTGTTTTTTTTCCCAAAGAAATCCGACAGAAGTCTCTCGATTTTTAATATTTTTTATGAAAATCGAGGTACTCCATCGCCATTAGTTTTACCTCAAATTTTCTCAAAAATATTTGACTATTTCATAAAAATACGATTTATATCTATAAGTTTTAAAAATTATTAAAAATACCCATAAATTTATATTATCATTTTGTAATGAATATGTTCCGTAAAAAAATAACCTTGTAATATAATTGATAAGTGATAACAATCAACAATAACAAAATAATAATATAGGCAAGACAATACATAGACTGCATACTCAAACTTATCACTAATTCAGTTATAATTATAACTCATTAAACACAAATTGTTATTTTTTCTCAATTTTATCACTCAAATTAAAACTCAAACTTTTCCGGAGGCGGTAGTACAAATATTCGTTGAACTTAATAAATAATGGGTATTTTTCATAAAATATAAAAAATTGGGGTAATTTTTTTTTAAAATTCCCAAATAATAGGTGATCGAAGTACTGAGGTTTTTCGAGTTTACTCTCTAGACTAAGAGGAGTATAGTCTTGAAAGGCGATCTCGCAATCGGTCTGATTATAAAAATGACACTACACCAAAAATGATCTTTAGCGGCAATTAATTAGTGATAACAGTTTAATTGCTGGTAAATATGTATTTTAGAGGCAATTATAATTCTTTATAGATGTCATTAAAGTCTATAGGGACATTGGATCCAATGACAATAAACTAATCACAGCAAAGACTTTAACACTCTATATTAATATGTATATTTATTACATGTAAAAATTGTTTTTGTTACGGTGTAAAAGATACATACTAGAATTAGTCTCTTTGGGTTATAGAATTGTAACCTAAACATCACTTGAGTTTGGTGGAGTGTTTTAGGCAAATCCTATGAGGGTAGATCGTGAGTTTTACTCCTGAGCAAAGAAATTACCACGGCAAAATTTTGTGTTTTCTTACTAGCAAGGGAACTCCATGCTATGCGCGTGCCCAATCTGTCCAACATGAACTAGTAAATGAATAAGTGGGTGTAGATATCATCGAACTATAACAAAGATTTTTACATATCATAACTTTTTATTGGTGAAAATAACGAGATTACAAATTACAATTGAAAATATAATGAAGAAAATAAAAATCTATTCTGGTTGAGGCTTGAATATCTAGATTCTAGCTCTTAGCCTAAATTATTATTTATTCATTTTTTGTCATTTATAATTTTTCAACTATAATTTATTATTTTTGTGGTATATAATACCAATAATTTTAAGGAGATTTAAGTCCACTATAACATAATCTACACAAATTCAGCAGTATCACTCTTGACTTGTCCCCTTCAGGATACAACATCCCAACAAACGTCATACAACTCAATTAACTCAATACAATACTACTCATATTTTTCACTCTATATTTTCTTGTCCATCTCTTATTGTATACAACACAGAGAAGACCATCACTATTTATAGGGGAGGAAATCTCCCTTGCAATGAATAGGAAGATAATGAGTAGTAAATGTTGATAAAACATCTATATTATCTTTAAAAGTATAAGAATAATATTTGAAATTATTTATTACATATTATTACCTTAATAACTTAGCTTATTAATATTATATTGAGGTTTTTAATCTTGTAGCCAACCGTTTGTTTTCTTATTATGGCAGTTGTTAATTGCCTTTATGGCATTAATCAACTACTATTTATTTGGGTGTTACAAAAGGTCCATTGGAATATTTGGTAATAATATACGGCCTTTACGGCAATTATTTGGTCTTAATGCACGGCTGATGGTATGCTCTTTACCATATACCTATATATCTATATATAGTATTTTTGTGTGTTAAAAGAAAGAGAATGAGATATTACATTAAAATAACTTTTCTTCTTTATTTATTTGCTGGGTTTTCTTAAGTAAAATATATTATTTGTTAGATTTTGGCTCCTAGTTTTAGTACTAGAAGAGTTTGTTAAATCCTGGGATACACCTTAACCGGTGAAATATCCTTAAGGACAGTGCCATAGGCACACCTCAAGCTATGTGATTTCCAATAGTTTTTACAACAATCTTAAGGATATTTCGATTAACATGGTTCACGAAAATGATTCACCTGCTATTGTTATTGATAATACCACCATTGCTGCTCAAACATCTCATGGTGTTGTCCCTATTGTGCCTTCGCACAACTTTACCAAATACTTCCATGATGTTTCAACAGTGGAAGTTTTTGGTGGACAGAATTTTAAGAGATGACATGTATGAAGTGACGTCTGCGCTAACAGGATCGACATCGGAGGAATCTGCTTCTGAGCAACTAAATCAATAGATTTATGCAAATAAGTTAAGTAAGCACACAATATTAAGTACTCTTTCTAATGAAATATTCGATGTGTATTGTTCTAATAAGGAAGCAAAGGAGATTCGAAAATCGCTACTTGCTAAATATACTGCTGAAGATGCTACCAAACAAAAGTTTGTTATTGGTAATTTTTACAAATGGGAGATGAGTGGGGAGAAATATGTAAAGGTACAAATCAACGATTTTCACAAACTAGTTGAAGATCTTAAGTCGGAGAAAATCATTTTACCGGAGTAGTTCGTGGCTGGTATATTGATTGAAAAATTACCAGAATCTTGGAATGACTACAAACAAAATTTGAAGCACAAACAAAAGCTATTATCTCTTGAAGATTTGGTAAAACACATCATCATTGAGGATACCAATCGAAAGCAATCATATTTTGCCAAAGCAAAAGAAATCGCTACAAAAGCCAATCTAGTGGAAGACAATAAGTCTCGCAATAAAGATAACATGTATGAAAAAGAACTTGATTATAAACTCAGGGTCAACAATCAAAATTTCAAAAAAAAAAAAGGTAATTGTTGTGTGTGGCAAACCAGGACACCATGCAGTTCAATGTAGAAACAGAGCTGGGAAAAATGACAATCCTGCTAAGCCAAGAGTAAATTTGGTTGAAGCAGATGATATCATAGTGGCGATCATTTCCCAAGCTAACCTTGTGGCCAATCTGAGTGACTGGGTGATAGATTCAGGCGCTACTAGGCATATTTGTGCAAATAAAACAGATTTTATGTCTTACACCCAAGTCAATGAAGGAGAAGAAGTTGTGTATCTTGGTGATTCTTCAACCACTCAAGTCCTTGGAAAAGGAAAAGTTCTTTTCAAACTCACATTTGAAAAAACCTTGGCATTGACTGAAGTGCTGCATGTTCCTAGTATTCGAACCAATCTGGTTTCCGTGGGATTATTAGGAAAGGTGGGGTGAAAGTTGCATTTGAATCTGGTAAGGTAATGATAATCAAGAATAATGTGTTTGTGGGTAAAAGATATTGTAATCATGGCTTATTTGTTCTCAATGTTTCTCAAGTCATGAGGGAAGATGCTAGTACTTAATCATTTACTTTTGACATGCTAAATTGGAACCATTTGAATAAATAAAAAAAGTTTTATGCTTTGATGTTTTGATAGTAAAATTCTCTCATATGTTAATGGTTAGTTTTCAAAATGTTGAGGATTGGAGGAAAAAAGAAAGAGACATCAACGTGTTGGTGGTTTTAATTATGAAATTATTTTCTAAAATTAGTTTTGGGTTATAAAAATAGCACGTAAATAAAATAAATATCTTCTTAAATAATGAAGAGACTTACCAATTGGGTGTTATTGGTTTCCTTTTAGTAAGATGTTAAATGAAAAAAAATAAAATAAGAAAGTATGTTGTTCTTTTGCTGATCACTTTGATTCTATAATTTAATTTTTCTTGTGATCACTAGAATAAAGATATTATTTTGAATGATCATATATAATGTTTGAGTGAAGTTATATTTTTAGCTTATCATTTATATGATGAAATGTTTATTTGAAAAATTGGTTGAACTTGTTATATAGAAATATTATTTTCTAAGTTGACCTTTTTGAAATATGGGGGTAACGTACTTTATGTGGTCTTGTTATTTAAAATTTAATATGTGTTTATCTATTGTGTTGATGATTTAGAAATCAACTAAATATAATGAAGTTAGCTAATAATGATATTAAGTGGTTAAGTAACCTCCATATGGTGATTACATAAGTTTGAGACAAAGAGTAATAGAACATTGAATCCATGTATCGTATGAAGTCATAAGTGAATTTGGCCAATTCTCTGACTTAAAATTTGGGGGGAAAAAATAATTAATAAATGAAGCTTCAACGAGAATGGGACTATTGTCAAGTTGTATATAAAAAATGATGGTAACCCAACTTATGTGATTGGAGATCCCATGAATTAGGTTCATATGGGTAATAACAAGTCATCGTTTGATCTTGTGCACTATAAATTTTTGTCCCATCTGTGATCTATTATGGTGTGCATATAGTGCAAATCTGCAAGGAAAGTGAGGTTGAGTTGTGAACTCTTAATCCATAACCATATCCTTTATAGGTGGTGTATTGCTCTGCAGAATACACTTGATGGGTGGACCTATATGAGTGTGGAGTGATGCTGCTTCTATGAAATTGTGATGGATTTCTAAAGCATTCATGAATACCAGGACACGCACATGGCCTCTTAGCGCAAAATCGCGATAACGACAAAGATTGTGCAAGTATAATGTGATAGAATAAGACTCTAAGCTTACAACATAATTTTTTTGTTCTTAGAAGTTTTAAATTTCACCATTTGTTCTGTAAGATTAATCTTATTTTATCTAAGTCTGGTTCATACTCTTCGAGACCATATTCGATGCATTATTCTTTCTTTTGAAAATCCAGCGATAATTATCTTTTATATATTTTTAAATTATTATATTATTTCTTAATATTCTTTTTAAGATATATGGGGGATTGTTGATAAAATATCTATATTATCTTAAAAAGTATAAGAATAATATTTGAAATTATTTATTACATATTATTACCTTAATAACTTAGCTTATTAATACTATATTAAGGTTTTTAATGTTGTAGCCAACCGTTTGTTTCTTATTAAGGCAGTTGTTAATTGCCTTTATGGCATTAATCAGCTACTATTGATTTGGGTGTTACAAAAGGTCCATTGGAATATTTGGTAATAATATATATATATCCTTTATGACATTTATTTGGTCTTAATGCAGGGCTGATGGTATGCTTTTTACCATATGCCTATATATCTATATATAGTACTTTTGTGTGTTAAAAGGAAGAGAATGAGATATTACATTAAAATATTTTTTCTTCCTTATTTATTTGCTGGGTTTTCTTAAGTAAAATATATTATTTGTTAGATTTTGGCTCCTAGTTTTAGTACTAGAAGAGCTTGTTGAATCATGGGGATACACCTTAACCGGTGAAAAAATATCCTTAAGGACAGTGCCATAGGCACGCCTCAAGCTACGTGATTTTCGTGATTTTCAATAGTTTTTACAACAGTAAATTAGCTAAATGAATGACTCAAATGTTTCATAAGTTACAATGCATAAAGATAGAATAATGTGTGAAATGAAGAGTTAATTGTTACAAGAGTTACTAATCACTAATGATCACATTCTTCCACAATTGATGAGAGTAAAGAGACACAAATGTAATGTCCACCAACAAACATAACATGATACATAATGTGACATATGATATATTTTCATTTATTGAGAGAGTTAAAAAGAAAGAGAGTATTGGAAGTTAGTTAGAAGTACTTTCAAGAAGTTAGTTAGAAGGACTTTCAAGAAGTTAGTTACAAAAGGTTAAGTAAGTTAGTTAGTCAAAACCAAGTTGTATAAATACAGGTCATTTAGTCATTGTAAAATTCATTCAATAATAATCAAGATATCCATCTTCTTCGATAATGACATGCTGAACATAGGATGGAAGTCTGTAAATGATGAAATGATTGACAAAGAAAAGGTTGATCATAGGTGTTTATAAGAAGTTCAATGTGATAAAAAAGTAAACAACAATTTGACTGAAAGAAGTGAACAAGATACAGTGGAAGAGACAGTTCAAGGTCATCGTTCTATACCTCATGATTTTCAACCAATGGTAAATAGAAGATCTACAAGAGGAGTCCATCCACCAGTTTGGATGAAAGATTTTGTGTCTCTAAATATGGGTACACAAGTGAAGTATCCTATAGATGAGTGTGTTGCATACAGTCACTTGTCTAAACATTATCAAGACTTTGTTGCTGCAACTTCTGTGCTAACAGAACCTACTTCCTTTGCTGAGGCCAGTAAAGATCCTAAGTGGATTGAAGCAATGTAAGCTGAAATCCAGGCATTGTAGGACAACAACACTTGGAAACTAGTAGAGTTGCCTGAAGGGAAGGTTGCTATTGGATGTATGTGGATTTATAAGATTAAATACAAGTCTATTGGAGAAGTAGAAAGGTTCAAAGCAAGGCTTGTGGCCAAGGGCTACAACCAAAATGAGGGTATAGAATATAAAGAAACTTTTTCCCCTGTGGTGAAAATGGTCACAGTAAGAACCATATTGTCCTTAGTTGTGTCAAAGGGGTGGCATATACATCAAATGGATTTATACAATGCATTTCTAAATGGTGATTTAAAGGATGAAATATATATGTCTATGCCTCAGGCTTTTCCAGTCAGGGGGAGAATAAGAACAAAGTATGCAGGCTGGAAAAGTCATTGTATGGGCTTAAACAAGCACCAAGACAATGGAACCAAAAGTTTGCAGAAGTTCTACACAAGTTATGTTTCAGTCAGAGTCAACATGATCACTCTTTATTTACAAGAAGGACCACTGAAGGAACTACAATAATTTTGGTGTATGTTGATGATATCTTAGTAACAGGAAGTAGCTTGAAGCTAGTAGAGGAAACAAAAAGGTCCGTACAACAAAGTTTTAAGATGAAGGATCTAGGAGAGTTAAAATTCTTTCTTGGAATAGAGTTTGTAAGGTCAAACAGTGGAGTTGTCATGCATCAAAGGAAGTATGCACTTCAACTTATTTCTGAAGTTGGTTTATCAGGAGCAAAGACTGCTGGAACACCTATGGATGTAAACATAAAGTTAACTTCAAAACAATATGATGATCAAACTGGACAAAGTCAGGAGGAGCCTATAACATATCAAAGTGCCTATCAAAAACTAATTGGGAAGCTGCTATATCTAAATATGACAAGACCTGACATTTCTTTCAGTGTTCAAAACTTGAGCCAATTCCTACATCAACCAAAGAAATCTCAAATGGATGCAGCCCTTAGAGTAGTTAAATACATTAAAAGGTAGCCAGGACAAGGTATATTACTAGCTAGTAAGTGTAGTAATGAAATTACAGCTTATTGTGATGCAGATTGGGCAGCCTGCCCTATTACAAGGAAGTCTGTTACAGGCTATGTGATTAAACTTGGAGAGTCTGTGGTCTCTTGGAAAGCTAAGAAGCAGACCATTGTGTCAAGGAGCTCAGCAGAAGCTAAGTACAGGAGCTTAGCTTCTACTGTAGCAGAGTAAGTTTGGTTGGTTGGAATGTTGAAAGAGTTAAAGACTGAAGTTCAGTTACCAGTTCAAGTATATAGTGACAGCAAGTCTGCTATTCAATTGGCTTCAGACCCAGTCTATCATGAACGTACTAAACACATTGAGATTGATTGTCATTTCACCAGGGAAAAACTTCAACAAAGACTGATCAAGATTACTTATGTGTCAACACAAAATCAGCCAGCTGATATGCTAACCAAAGGTCTCAACATGACTATCTACTATCCAAGCTAGGGGTCTTAGACATATTTGTACCATCTAGCTTGAGGGGGAGTATTGAGAGAGTTAAAAAGAAAGAGAGTATTGAAAGTTAGATAGAAGTACTTTCAAGAAGTTAGTTAGAAGGACTTTCAAGAAGTTAGTTACAAAAGGTTAAGTAAGTTAGTTAGTCAAAACCAAGTTGTATAAATACAGGTCATTTAGTCATTGTAAAATTCATTCAATAATAATCAAGATCTTCATCTTCTTCGATCAGTTTGCCTTCTATTTTGTATAACTTCATCATTAATATTAAAATATCACACTAACACTTTCATTATAATTATACAAACATGAATTTTGAAAAACTAATGCAAGGGACCCTGTGTAAAATTGAATGTTCTTGATGGTCTATTCATGAAAAAAAATATCATTGAACATGAGGAATAAGTAATTAGATTGTTCAATAATGTTGTTGGCGTTAGTTAGTTAGGTTATTCAAAGTAATATATATGTGGCATCGCTATCTGCTACAAATGTAAGACATTAATTTCTTGTGTGGCATCGCTATCTCTACAAAGGTAAGACATTAATTTCTTGTGTTTTGATGGGTCAT